CATCAACTTATACAGAAATAAGGAGGTTTAAGATAATTTGTGAACATCAGCTTATACAGAAATAAGGAGGTTTGAGATAATTTGTGTACATCAGCTTATACAGAAATTAGGTTTAAGATAATTTGTGAACATCAACTTATACAGAAATAAGGAGGTTTGAGATAATTTGTGTACATCAGCTTATACAGAAATTAGGAAGTTTGAGATAATTTATGTACATTACCGTATACAGAAATAAAGAAAAGATCCATCCGTTGCCCCCATTATAAGAATATCATTAGAGGCGACCAATTTTGGGTGTTTCCTTTGAAATTAGAAAATAACCTTTCTGAGAGACCAAGAATCAGCAGTCTGCATACAAATAAGCCAGATCTGTACAAATGAATGTGCATGCAAAATTCAAGTTCTAGAATGAGACCAAAGACGAGAAGTGTGTGAACAACCAGAACTTTTTGCCAGTTTACAGCCAGTGAATGTGAAGAAAAAATACATCAGCCTATGCAAAGCTAACAAAGTTGTTTGAATTAGGAACAGGTGTTTACATGCATTATTCAAAGATATAGAGATTTTAATTTTGACTATACATTTCAGAGCTAAGGTTTCATTTTAGTTTTCTGCTCATCCACTTGTAAGGTTTATGTTTAGATAACTTACGTACGTCAACTATTACAAAAGTAACAAGGGTTAAATTTAGCAGATATTTGTGTGTATATCAATATCAACGTATGTGGAGCTTTAGTGGCGTATATTTAGATACTTTCTTTATGTCAGTACATGAAGAGTTGAGAGGTTTGATTAAATAGAATGTGTATAGTTTATGTGTGCACATAAGCAAACGGAGAGTTAAAATATGAATATAAAATGGTATGCCCATTTCACCACTGGCATAAGTACGGTCCTTCAGTTTACTTTAGTACCACAGGTTTCATTAAATATTTTGTGTATGCAGCATCATATGGAGAGGTACAAGGTTTCAACATTAGGTATAATTTAATTAGGTATAATTTAGGTACATTAACATGTGGAGATTATATGGAGAGGTACAAGGTTTAATTAGGTATAATTTAGGTACATTAACATGTGGAGAACGGCTGGCCAAACGGTGAGAAACACTCATGCAGGAAGCATGTTTATGAATCCTCTGTAAGGTTGGGGATTTTATTGGGGGCAAAAATAAAATCCTGACCTTTATAGTCAGGGGCAGCAGCACTAGCCATGCAGCCCTCAATTCTCAGACTGTAAGGCCCCTAGTACCTACACTGCAACAGTGGTAGTTACGGGCCCTAATGGCAGTTTGTGTAAACATGTGGAGAGTTTAAATATTGAATTAAATACAATTTTTCTATATCATAAAGAGCTAAAAGATGTAATTAATTATAATTTGTGTACTTCTACATATGGAGAATTAAATAATTTAGTTATGTAAAATTTATGGGGAGCCACGGCGGTGTAGCAGCTAGACAAACGCCTGCGGAGTTTTAAAGATCGTGGATTCAAATCTAAATGGAGCTGGACTTTTTATCTCCTTTAGAAAATGTCCTTGGCCCCTGGGTTGACCCCGCCCTAAATGGGTACCAGGTAGAAGTTATGGGAAGTAAAGGTGGCCAGCTTGATGCTGACCACATCACCCACCGAGTGCTGGTTGATCTATAAAATATAAGGCTAGCCCTATGTGTCCAGTATGTCTAAAGGCCTGGAAAAGGGTCCTTTACTTTATTTACAGGAACGTATTGAGAGTTGAGAGATTTAGTTAAATATAATTTGTGTATTTTAACATTTGGAGAGCTAAGCAGCTAAATTAAATATAGTTTGTCTACATCATACAGAAACCTACAAGTTTTCATTAATTATAATGTGTGTACTTTAACATACAGAGAGTTTAATGGGTTCAACTGAAGATTAACTTATGCTGTCAATTAAATAAGTACATCAACAAAATAAGCACAACTATAAGAGATCATTTGTAATTCACTTTTCCTGTTGTGGTTGGTTGATGATTAAAGAAATTTTTTTGGGGGGGAAAGACTGAGTTCCAACACATTGTGTTAGCGATCACTGAACTCAGAAGAAAAGGCATGCACCTATTGACTTAAGGTTCATGTAGAGATTTTTCTCCCCACCCAGTTCAATGTTCCAAACATGACCTTGGTTCCCAGTTCGATCCAGCCTGAAAAAAAAAATACTAGATGGAGTACCCCGTGTGGGTTCCGGGGCCCTATTATAGGGAAATCAAGAATAGACCCACTGCCTACCCAAAAGCATGTCCTAAGAGCCGACTAATTGGGAGCTTCCTTCGAAGCCGGAATGCATCTGCCTGAGTGGCAAGAAACCAACAGTCTGCATACAAATAAGTCAGATCTGTAAAATGGATGCACACGCAACACTCAGGTTCTGGAACAGGACTGCAGTCCAGAAGTGGACGAACAACCAGAACTTTCACCGGAGTTTACAGCTGGTGACTGCGAAGAAGAAAGAGTCCTATTCTTTACATTAGCATTACATTTTCTTCATTGTTATCACTGTGTTTTCATTTTCTGCAGTGTTATCATTGAACCATTATTTACTGCATTGTTATCACTGTACCATTATTTTCTGCATTGTTATCACTGTACCATTGTTTTCTTCATTGTGATCACTGTATCATTATTTTCTTCATTGTTATCACTGTACCATTATTTTCTTCATTGTTATCACTGTGTCATCATTCTGTTCCTTGTTGTCACTGCATCATCATTTTTTTCATTGTTATCACTGTGTCATCATTTTCTTCATTTTTATCACTGTGTCATCATTCTTTTCATTGTTGTCACTGTGTCATCATTTTCTTCATTGTTATCACTGTATCATCATTCTTTTCATTGTTGTCACTGTATCATCATTTTCTTCATTGTTATCACTGTGTCATCATTTTCTTCATTGTTATCACTGTATCATCATTTTCTTCATTGTTATCACTGTATCATCATTTTCTTCATTGTTATCACTGTATCATCATTTTCTTTATTGTTATCACTGTGTCATCATTCTTTTCATTTTTAACACTGTACCACTGTATCATCATTCTTTTCATTGTTTTCACTGCATCATTATTTTCTTCATTGTCATCACTGTACTACTGTATCATAATTTTCTTTGTTGTTATCACTGTACCACTGAGGAGTGGCTGGCCAGACAGTTAAGATCGCTAGGCTTTCATGCGAAAGACCCAGGTTTGAATCCTTGGTAAGGTCATGGATTTGTTTCTGTCGGAGGGCAAATATAAAATCTTAACCTGCACAGTCGAGGCAGCTGTACTAGTCATGCGACCCTAAATGCTCAAAGAACTTGACACCCCCCCCCCCCCCCCCACCCACAGAAGTGGTGAATACAGGAAGTAATTGACTGTTTGACAGTGCCACTTGATCATCTCCATGGGATGCTCTTTGAGCCCAGAAACCATTCGAGCTAATAAGACCAGTACTCCTTGTGTGGGTTCCGGGGCCCCATTGTGGGGGGAAACCAGAAGACACCCACTGCCTTCACAACAGGCATGTCGTATGAGTCTGACTAATTTTGGGCATCCTTCGAAGTCGGAGTATCTCTGCCAGAAGGGCAAGGAACCAAGAGTCTGCATACAGAAAAGCGAAATCTATGAAACGGAGGTGAATAAACACCCAGAACTTTTGGCAGAGTTTACATCCGGTGAGCACAAAGAAGAAAAAGTAAGACTGGTACTCAGAAAGAAAAAACCTCTGTGCCGAGAGGCATATTAAAATGCCACAAGGTTATGATTCAGCGCGATGCGATACATATAGATCTAGGTTGGTTGTGTTTCCCTCATATGTTTGTCATTCCATTGTTAGTTGACTGTAACCTCAGCATGCCCAGGGTGGTTAGCCAGTTATACTGTGAAATAATGTATGAATTGCCCCCCTGCCACAGGGTGTGGCTTTGCATACTGTTAAGTGTTGCTGGTTGCGTTTATGTCACAGGTCGTATATTGGTTTACATTTAATCCTAGGTAGTTATCAAATTACTTTTAAGTGTCTTTAGATGGAAATAGCAAGTGTCTGGATCATACATGCTAGGTGGTGGGTAGGCTGGCGGTCGCTGCATAGAAAGCATCCACAGAATAGTCACTGGTAGAGCTGTTAACAGAATCTCTGTGAGCATCACTGAATTATGGTTTGTGAACAGTTTCATTATTCTGGCATATCAGTGTCGATTTAGCAGCTCACCGCTTTGCATTGGCCCCATAGACTGTTCAGGTCCCAAGAGGCAAGAAACCTACAGTCTGAAAAAAAATTAGGCCATATCTACAAAACGGGTGCACAGGCAAAGTTCTGGTCCCTGAACAAAGCCAAAGTCTAGAAGTGGACGAACAAGCAGGACTTTCCATCGGGGTTTACAGCCAGTGAACACACTGACTGACTGACTGACTGGCTGTCCAGAAGATAGTGCAACGTAAAATTGCCTAGTACAACCACAAATTAATCAACAAATGCTGGGGTTTGTCTGTGATGCCCTTAAAGGATATGAAACTGCAAGTTCCCTGCCAGATAAATATCCGCATGGTGTTCTTTGCTTCTACATAAGTTTCTTCTTGTGATCGCTTTCTAATTTACACAGTCGAATAAGTTCTTGAGATAAAATTTACTTTTTTTGTTGTTTAAGGAGTTCCCTGTCAGTTTCATACAACTTTGTGTATAATGTTGACTCATTGGGTCAGTATGCTCTTCTTAATGGACTGTACAAGAGACATTCTAGCAGGAAATGTTCTGCAGTTTGGTTTGCACACACAGCCCACATGGGCACAATGATGAACTACTTAGTTGAATCCTAAGCATATGTTATGTCCTGTCCTGAGGCGTAGAACTATTACATGCCCATGCTGGTGAAGTAAGTGTTAGTCATCTTTGACCTAATTCTGTTGACTTCTGATAGAAGCATCAGCTGAGAGTAGTTGTTGAGAATGTATGTATTGATTTCTAAAACTGCTTAACTTGTCCCTGTTTTTCCAGGCCGTGGAGGAGGTGGTAGCGGTGGTGGAGCTGGTGCTGTGGACCGTGGGGCTCCTGGTGGCGGCCCAGGTGGACCTGGTTATGGATTGGGACAGGACATGGAGGTCCAGGAGGACACCATTTTTGTCTCCAACATGGGACAGGATGTCACTGAAGAAATCATCATTCAGCATTTTGGGAGCATCGGTGTCATCAAAGTAAGTGTCGTTGGTGTCGTCAGAGAAAGCTACATACTGGTGTCAACAGAGTAAGCTACATACTGGTGTTACCAGAGTAAGCTACATACTGGTGTTACCAGAGTAAGCTACATACTGGTGTCACCAGAGTAAGCTACATACTGGTGTCACCAGAGTAAGCTACATATTGGTGTTACCAGAGTAAGCTACATACTGGTGTTACCAGAGTAAGCTACATACTGGTGTCACCAGAGTAAGCTACATACTGGTGTCACCAGAGTAAGCTACATACTGGTGTTACCAGAGTAAGCTACATACTGGTGTCACCAGAGTAAGCTACATATTGGTGTCACCAGAGTAAGCTACATACTGGTGTCACCAGAGTAAGCTACATACTGGTGTTACCAGAGTAAGCTACATACTGGTGTCACCAGAGTAAGCTACATACTGGTGTTACCAGAGTAAGCTACATACTGGTGTCACCAGAGTAAGCTACATACTGGTGTCACCAGAGTAAGCTACATACTGGTGTTACCAGAGTAAGCTACATACTGGTGTCACCAGAGTAAGCTACATACTGGTGTCACCAGAGTAAGCTACATACTGGTGTCACCAGAGTAAGCTACATACTGGTGTCATTATAATAAGTTATTGCTATTGGTTTAATCTGTGTGTGTCATTAGTGTCACAAAAATATGTTACATAATGGTGTTGTTAAAGTAAGCTACATATTTGTATTGTCAAAGTAGTAGTAAAGTAAGTGCCATTGTTGTCATCAGAGTGAGTGGTCCCTTCATTTGGAAAGGCATATCAAAGAAGAAAGAAAAATGGTTTCTGGAATATCCAAACATCTCCTCTACAATATATCCAGCACCATGTGGTGACGACCTACTAGTTCTCAAAGTGTCAGAGTCATTTTCATCTGCTTCCACTGATGAAGAAGAAGACCTCGGTGATCTTGAGCCATCAACCTCAAGCAACCCAGATTTTGTGCAGACTACATCCACTAATCCACACATTTGGTAACCTAGAGTGAACTGAATGATCTTGTAAGACTTACTGAAGAACAAGCAGAGTTTTTGGGTTCCAGATTGCAAAGTGGAATCTTTTGCTTGGACTGGCTAGAGTACTATTGCTTTCTGTGTGCACACAGTGATGATTACATCATAAGATATTAGCCAGTCATGCTTTGTTGAAGCCTGACAGTAAGAACTTCAGGTTTTTATTTGTATTGGTCAGAAAAAAAATTAGGCAATTGCCCACAAAAGTTGCATCATTTATATATATATATGGTAATTAAACTAGTAGCATATATAGAACTAAATAACTACTTTAGGAATGAGGAGTTAAAAAAACACCTGTCTGAGTGAAAGATTTTTTTAGAAATATTTCTGTAGATCTTTCTAAATTTGTTGCTTTTATTCATGTTCAGACGGACAAGAAAACAAATACTCCTAAAGTCTGGATCTACAAGGATAAATTGACCAACATGCCGAAAGGGGAAGCTACTGTGACTTTTGATGACTCCGACACCGCTAAAGCTGCCATTGATTGGTTTGATGGTGAGATTTTTATGTGGTGCTATTTGTACAGTTTCCCTGTGTCGGTTTTAGTGCCCTATTGTTAGTGGTGGGGGGGGGGGGGGGGATGGGCGTGTATAATAGACCCACTCCATCCTTTTACCTAATTGAGCAAGCATATTGTACAAGGCAACTAATTAGGGCTTTGCTGAAGTGCTGGGAGCACCATCTCACTTCTAGCCCTTCTTTTCTTTACAGTCCTCTTCAACTTCTACATGAGGGCAGCATCCAGGGGTTGTGGCAACTCTGATAGTGAGAAAAACATGGACACAGTATAGATTATCAAGGTTGTGAAAAACTTGGGTAAACTACTCACTGTAGTTACATGACACAAAGTGGGTGCTCATCCGGGATCTGATCGGTGTCATATCCCTGTATCTTTATTATAGTCTGAGTGGTTGTGACTGTGTGCAGCTATGACTTCTATCTGTGGCAGATTCAAACAATGCATATTACACTAGTTTCCCCTGTGGGTTCCGGTGTCCCATTTTTTGGGGGTGTGGTGGTGGGGGAGAATGAAATAGACCCACTGCTCCCCTAACTATCATGTTATAAAAGCCGACTTATAAGGATATGTCCTTTAAGTGTATCTAAAGTGGACAAACAAGTAGAACATTTTTCCAGAGTTTTCAGCCCATGAGCGGTAAGAAGAAGATGAGATCAGCAAGATCTCCTGCAGGTGCTGGATCTAGACGTGTCGCAAAGATCTGTCCTCACAGACTGACATTGATTGGACATGGACCTGTTTGTTTCACTGCTTTCTTCACTCTTTTTTCTGACATTGACTTTGCAGTCAACAAAGTGTCCATGTGGCTATCTCTGTGCCCTTATTTTGTTTTCTCCCGTATCCCCCTGATGATTGTGCTACTTATAGCATTATTGTAAGTCACCCAGAAGCCTGTTGTGTGGAAATTTATACTGCTTATTTTTAAAAAAGCTAGTTGTGTATCCTTTACCGGATGTTGCAAAACCAACCCCAGTGTCAAAGTTTTTCTAGTCAAACATTACTTTCTGAGCATTCAGCTCTTGATAACGCTGTCAAAACCAACGCAAGACAAATCCTCCGCAGCTAGGATTGAACCTGGCACCCCGGCATTTCGAAGATCGCGCCTGAGCCGAAGATGTCGACACTGCTTATTGTGCCAGTTATATTGATAATATGACTTCTCTCATTTTGCAATAAACCTCAGCTTGCCACAAGGTTATATCAGAATTCTTGAGGGTGACAGATGGGGAGACATACACACACAAACGAATGAGAGACATAATTAGTGAGAAATGTAGACAGGCACACATACAAAAAGAGATGGAGACATAACGATGTGAGGGCAACACATGTGAAAAGTTATGTGTTGGTAACCTATGTGAGTATCAACATTAGAGATTTAAGCTCTGGCTTTTTGTCTCTGACAGGTAAAGATTTCCAGGGACGAGTCATCAAAGTAGAGCTGGCACAGAGACAGAAGAGTACATTTGTTCGTGGTGGAGGACGAGGTGGAGGCAGTGTTGGAAGAGGTACTTGGTTGATTCAAGAACCCTATGTGTTGTAACTGCTACCATTCCTTCCTGTTTGTTGCTCTTGTATGTGTATGTCATTAGAACAGATTTATCAGCTGACATTGGGCATGTCATTGGCAGGGATGCAAGAGCCTGGGGGGGGCAGTCAACTCAAGGGTCCCTTCCACAATAATTTTTAAGGGGCCTGACCCCCTCCTCCATCCCCCTCCCCCAAATCTTTGTTGACCATGTATAGATATTTTGTTTTTTAAGTGTTTGTTTCTACATTTCATATTATTTTAAACATAATTGTTTTGCCATTAGCCAGCAAATAATAATGATTATTATTGCACACTTAAACAAGGCTTACACTCCTTTAAACATCCCTTTCTTATAAAATGATGTCAACTGAGGCTATCCCTCTTCCCTGGTGATATTTTTGTGGTGGCATCCCCTGGTCATTGGAAATCAGTCCCAGAGCAAACAGATATAGGGTTCCAGCACTGTTTATTGTGTCATGGAGAGACCGAGGGCTGTGAAACAGGAAACAAGTATTATCGCAGTATTAGATTTTATCAGCAGATGAGCAAAATATAATTTCACCTATCCCAATTGTGAACAGGTTGGGGTCCTAGATATATGTAAACCTAATTCTTTTCTCCATTTTGTGTGTGCGTGCTTTTATTTCTTTGGCCGTATTTTTTCTCTAAAAAAAAAACCTTGACTCGCACGTCGACCTGGTCTCGAAAGGGGTACCAGGTAAAGTCCTCAGAAGTAAAGGTGGCCAGCGTGATAACCACATCACCCATTAAGAGATGATAGGTCTAAAAAATATGGGTGTAGCCCAATATGTCTAAAGGCGGGAAAAAGGGGTCCTTTTATTTCTGTGGGCAGGTTTTATTGCCTGTGTTCTCCACCAGAATCTTTCTTCATCTCTTAATTCTTCACCTAAATTGGTTTAGTTATCTTCTAAAGCTGTTCATTGGCAGTTATTTCATACCATTTAATTCCCTGTACGCAACACAGGCACCTACCAGTGGATGAATGTCTCTAGCTTGTACCATGTGGTACTGAGTGGAGATTCTTCCACTGTAGAACTGGGAGAGAAAAGCATAAGGAAATATAATCTTGCCATGTACAGTGTGTTTGACTTACTTCCTATTTTACTTACAGGCGGCGGTGGTGGCGGCTTTGGAAGGGGAGGTGATCGTGGAGGAAGGGGTGGAGAACGAGGAGGTAATTCTTAGTTTTATGCTAGCTTTAGTTTCACAGAGAAGGTCACTCCATATGGTCAAGGATCTGATTTGTATTGCATGGTCAAGTAGTTGATTGCTAGAAAGATCATACAACAGCAAAAAACCATCAAGGAGATAAGTGATGCTTTTGCTGTTACAACCAGCAGCCTTATGATGGCGACCATGGCTGCGTTGACATGGTTGGGTGCTCAAAAATGCACATGCGGCCATACTGAGTCTTTCTATGAATATGCTCAAGAGAGGCCAGACAGCTTCATCAGACAAGAATGGATTCTCTCATTAAATTCATCATGAATAACTCACATAACCTTTATGTTTGTGCGGGGCTATGCAGGTGTTCAAAACAATTAGCATGCAGATTATCTGGCAGACAAAGCAGCTACCACAGCTGGCCCGGCAGTGGACAGAAGTGATGTCACTTATGCCGTGCCAGCTGCATGTCACCAAGAAGATCACAACAACAAGGACAGTATACTTGTCACAGGGTGGTGGACATGTGGATGCAGCCTGGAGTAGCCAGAAATGAACATTTCACTGAGGATACAAGATGTCTGATTGATCAACAGAAATTAGGTATGATCAGTTTTACTTTTGAGATTGGATCACCTATGGATCTGTCCAGAGTGCTGTGATGATAGTCCTCACTAATCACACAGCAGCGAAAGTCAAGAAACACCATCAGATTGGCAGATCGCTGTCATTGTCCCGCTGTGGAAAAATAAAGGAAGTAAGAGGGAATGTACTAATTACACAGGAATATCACTTCTCAGTCACACTGGGAAAATGTATGCTAAGATCATCGAAAAAAGGCTGAGACCATTGATAGAGTATCAACTTTCAGAAGCACAGATGGGCTTTTGACGAAACAGAAGTTGCACAGATGCCATTTATACATTGAGACAACTATCAGAGAGGGCAATAGAACATGATAAGACATGTTTGTTGACATTGATAGACCAAGAAAAGCCTTCAGTAGAGTCGACTGGAATATGTTGTGAGAATGTATGGGGAAAAAAGGAACCAGCAATCATCTCATTTATATTTGCAAAAGCCTGTACACATGTAGTAAATGCTGCATAAGATCGAAGGCAGGGTTGTCAAGAACTTTTATAGTGAACTTTGGTGTGCGTCAGGGCTGTGTACTATCGCCGTTTCTTTTTAAAACATACATGGATACCACATGTAGCGAAACAAACTTTAATCATGAAGAAGATATTACAGAATTACTCTTCGCCGACGACCAGGTACTCATAGCAGAAAATACAGAATGCCTACAGAATCACCTAAATCAAATTAGTAACAAGGGAGGAGGGGGGGGGGGGGATATAATATGAAAATAAACACAACGCAGACAGACAATGATGATAGGAAGACATAAAGACAATTTAGAAATTAAATTAAAAAACAACACCCTGAGACAAACAGGAATTTAAGTATTTGGCAGCAATTTTTACATCCGACGGGAAAACTGGACAGAGAAATTAGCTCCATATGTGCCAAAGCTAATCAAGTATTGGGTCAACTATCTCCCCTGTTGACACACAAGCAGATACCTCGGAGTACTAAAGTGAATCTTATCAGAACTATTTTTTGGCCAACACTATGCTATCAATGCCAAACGTGGACACTTACATCCTCCAATGAATGTAAAATTGTGACAACTGAGATGAAATGCCTTAGAAGAGCAGCAGGAGTTTCAAGGAAAGACAGAATATGAAATCAGACGAATGCTAGGAATAAAGCCAGTCTTACAGGTTATCAAAGAACAACAAATGAAGTGGTTTGGACACCTAACAAGAATGCGCTGGTACTATCTGCCACAGCGAGCCACACTAAAACGTTACAACGGGTATAGAGCGAGTGGAAGACCTTGGAAAATATGGAGTGATGGCATTAAGAACAGCCTTACAGAAATGAACATCAGTCTTAATAGTGCTCTTCACAGCGCTCATCAACGAACATTACATCTCCCCCCGACACTTCGATGAGGTACAAGGTGGAAGAGAAGAAGAAGAAGAAGCGAAAGTCCTTATCAACATTTAGGGTCCCATTTCCATACCTTTGGGCATTTAGTGCAGGACTCATGCTTTTATAGACCCGTGGACATTCAGTGGATGTTAGAGTGAATAAACAGAGTAGGAACCCTTGAGGAATTAGAAACATGGCATTTTGTAAACTGACACATAACAGCCCTAAAAATGCATAGATATTGCAGCCTAGCTGTAAACCACAACACATGTCAACTGCCTTATAAGAGTAGAGACAAGAAGAAGCTGTTGTGTAGAACTGTTTTTTCTGTTATCATTAGAACAAATCCGTAAACCAACATTCACCGTATTGACCAACAGTATGACATCATGACTACACAAAGGACATGTTCATGAGGGCTTCCATTCAGAATTCCCATACAAATCATTTCAAATAAAACTAACTTAACAAAAATTGACATTAAGAAATATATTTAGGGGAGTCTTCAGTAAACATAAGCACAGTGGACTATTAATTAGAATAATTTCCGTCGGACCTTAAGGTTGCATGTTGCTATTAAAATTTTTTTTTAACCAATAACATCCTTTTTCCCAAATGCTGTTTTTAGTAAATGTAAACAGTTATATCTGCCGCCTAAACACTGCAGTTGCCTGCAGAACCAATACCATCAACTAGGCTTGTCAGAGACTGTTATGAGGCGTTTGTAATAGGGGCGAAGCCAGTTTTCAGCCCCTCTGAGTGAAAGGGTTCAACCTTGGCTTGGGGTTTAGGTATTTCATTGCCAGCAGACAAGCCTGTGGTGTAGAGAGTATGAGCGTGATTGTAAGAAGCAAGCAGCCACAGTAGGCTGGAGTTCCACCTGTAATGTTTATTGCTTTCTTTGCAGGATTTCCTGGAGGCCGAGGAGGAGGAGGTGGTGGTGGTGGAGGGGGATCAGGCCGAGATGGAGATTGGACATGTGATGCTGAGTAAGTTTTCTTCCTACTTGTTCCCTGTGTGGGTTCTGGGGTGAAAAAGAATAGACCCATGGCCCCCACCCAACAAGCCTGTCATAAAATTAGGGGTGTTTCCTTCAAGTCCATATCTGCTTGAGAGATGAGGAACCAACAGTCTGCACACAGTTTATATACTATTAAGCCAAATCTGTCAAACGGATGTGCACAAAAAGATATTCTGGAACAAGACCAATTTCCAGAAGTGGACCAACAACCACACGTTAAGGGGAAGGGGTGTGTGCTAGTGAAGAGGAATAGGTGTGTGAATATGGGAGGAAAGGGGTGCTTGTGTGCATGTAAGAAACGGAATGCATGCATACAAAGGGGAGGTGGTGTGTATGTAAGAGAAATGGGGTGCACGCCTACAAGGGGAATTGGGGAGTGTGTGCATTCATGCAGGAGAGCAGGTGTATGTGTGCATGTAGGAGAGAAGAGGTATGTATGTGCATGCTACAAGGGAAGCGGGTAGCATGTGTGCACATGGCTTGCAAGGGGTCAGGGATGTGTCAGAAGAGACAAGTTAAATATTCTGGCTACATGAAAAGACATAACACTTATTAAAAAAACATACTGGGGGGAAAAGTTAAAGGCAGTGGAGCAAGGTAGATATGGGTGCAGATAGGAGGTCTTTATCAGCAGATGGACGACCAGTAATTGATTATATTGAGGAATTTGATTTAACATTAGGTTACTGGATTTGACATTGTTTGATTTGACTTTGGGGCATTTATTCTGACAGAAAGTTATTTATTTATTGCTATCTGTTTGTGCTGACTGACTGCCTGCCTGTGTGGTTTCAGCGACTGTGGGAACACAAACTTTGCCTGGCGAGACTCCTGTAACAGATGCCATGCTCCTCGACCAGGTGGCGGAGCTGGTGGTGGGCCAGGAGGTGACCGTGGAGGTAGACCATTTAAGATTTCTAGAAACATTGTATAGTTTTGATCTGATCTTGTCTGTTTGTAGTGGGTGGAGACACCAATGTGTACATTCCCTTGGGGTGGGGAAGGGCAGGTGGGAGACCACTGTGTCCCTGTTGTGTGCTGAACTTACTTCAGTATTAAAGTTTGCCAGAGGTCAGAGACATGTTCGCCCATACCAGTCGTCAAGATGCTTGATGAGGATGACAGAGGCAAGTGCAAAAGGTCCAGGCTACTTGAAGTTGTGAGACAGGTTTTTAAAAATTATCGGGTAACAGCAGCTTCACAGGTATTGCTGTTACAGACTACTAGTGACCCCAGGTGTAGGCCCGTATGCCGAAAGCATCTTGTGTTATGGACTCGGTCAAGTCAAGGCTAGGTGCCATCTTTGGAGTCTACCAGTGTTAATACTTGGCAGATTTAAAAGACAATATTTAGTCATTTGTCACCAGTTCGTTGTCTTAATGTTCCCATCCATGAACTCGTCCGATGCACTAGCACAGATGAATTTTATGGTCTGTTTAGTTGTGATGTTGACACATTGTTACGAGAGTGCTGGTGGTATGATGTGTACCTGTGCTGCGTTTCTTGAAGGGAACCCAGTAGTTGTCGTGATCGTTAGCTAGGAAACTTTTGAATGTGTGATTGAAGCATAATCATCACCCCAGATACTTTTGCTAAGAATGCGATACATTCCCTCATGTTGCATATTACAGCCCCTAACAAGTATGTAGTAAGAGTAGACTAATTAGGGTTTTTTGTATCGAAGTCTGAGTGCATCCGCCTGATAGGCAGGGAACAAGCAGTCTGCATACAAATAAGCCAGATCTGTAAAATGGGTATGCACACAAAACTCAAGTTCTGGAACAAAGCTTCTTCTTCTTTCTTTCTTTCTTTGCGTTCACCAGCTGTAAACTCTAGTGGACAGTTTTGGTTGTTCGTCCACTTCTGGACTGCAGTCCTGTTCCAAAACCTGGGTAAAAGCGAAAGTCCAGAAGTGGACAAACAACCAGAACTTTTTACAGGATTTTACAACCAGTGAATGCGAAGAAGAGTTTAATCCCACTGGACATGTTCATGTTGGTTGAAAAAGATTTATTCCACTAAAGATCTGTAACTCTTCCTTTCATCATTATCTTCATCATGTTTATACTTCACATAGGGTCAGTGTCTGTTCCATTCATTCATTTTGTTCTATCCTTTCGATATGGTGGATAGCATCCAGTTCAGCACCCCTGGCCTTTCTCAGCACTGTTCATCTGAAGGTTTCTCTAGGATGTTCTCATTTCTTTAATCGATTTGTTTCCCATTTCAGTGCCTGACTGGCACTTCTCTGTCCACCTATCCTCAGGAAGTGCCCAAAATGTCAGTCTTTGAGTACCAGCCAGACATTACAGTGGTTAACACCACAGGGCAGAAGGCACTAAATGAAGAACTCAGCTATGATGAGTTAAGGTACCAAGTGTTTGCTGACGCAGACAGAACAGTCTGCTGTCTCTAGGCTAACCCATGAGTGTGTGATGAACAACATGGTACAGAAAGGGTTAGGAGAAGAACAAAGGAAGGACTGGCATTGAGTTGAGTGTCATCTTAGTGTTGGCAGAGGTTAGTGTTCCATTGTGCAGTAGGAAGGAAGGCATGGACATAACAACCCATGGTGATAGCAAGGGTACAGTTCCTCCTATGTAGCTCAAAGCCTGGGCAGTATTGTAGAGACCACATGGTGGTGCTCTTGTTTGTTCACCTGTCAGAGCTTCCCTCCTAGACCAGCTGCCAGCCAAGGCTAAGGCCCTGGTCTGTCCTGCCATAACAGTAAAGTTTTTGGGTCAATAATTGGCATGTATGCTCATGAAAGGCTGTCACTTGTGTTGTTGAGTTGACATTGTGTTTGTTTTTCTGATCTTTTTATTCTTGGGAAGAGAGATTTCAAGGTTACAACTCTTTTACATAATTCCTGCCACCCAGCGATCATAACTATATTCAGATTTGGTAATGTGTTAGGAATTGTGATAAGAATAATGATGGCATGTTCTATGAATTTAGTTCAAATGATCTTTTTTTTTTCTCTTTCTTTTATAGGGGATCGAGGTAGAGGTCGTGGATTTAGCCGTGGTGGAGGAGGAGACCGGTTTGGTGGTGGTTTCCGTGACAGAGGAGACCGTGACGGTGGGGATGCAGGGGATAGAGGAGGCTTTAGGGGCGGGCGTGGAGGCAGAGGTGGATTCGACAGGTCAGTACCAATGTGTCTGGTTTTTGTGGTGATCTTCTGCTTTCTGCATTGAATAAAACAACACATTGAGCCTGTGTTCATAACTGCAGTATTGATAGTCAGTAACTTATCATCATCATCATTTCTTCTTCTGATATAGAAATAGTTAATGATGAACATCCACAGTTTGACACAGACAGATGACATAAAATTGGTTTATGGCTCACATTTGATCTCTGACACCTCCCTTTGATGGTTCTGGGGCTCTATTGTGGAGGGAGGAAGGGGTAGACCCACTGCTTCCCTGACAAGCATGTCTTAAAAGGCCGCTAATTAGGAACTTTCCTGTAAAGTCGGAGTTCATCTGCCTGAGCAGTTAGGAATCAACAGTCAGTAAGCCAGAGCTGTAAAATGGATGTGCACACCAGAACTTTCCGCCAGAGTTTCTTTTTCTACTACTACTTCTTCTTCTGTGTTCATCTTTCTACAGACAGTTAGCATGTTGCCTTGTGGTTGACAGCTATCCTGTGATCTACATATTTAGCCCTATATCTGATCTGAGCTAACCCCTAAATGATTGCCCTTAACGACATGCTGGTTAGGGTGGCAGTGGGTATACATCTCCCACACAGACACATACACATGCACACACACACACATGGTGCCCCAGAACCCACACCGGAAGCTATGACAGTGACTAGTATAGAAAAATTACCATGATAAACTTGTGGTTCATTGTTCCTACTAACCATTTTGTTTTAAAACCCATTTTCAGAGATCGCAATGATAGGAGGTCAAGGCCATACTAACTAGGAGCTTACTGTCCAGATTTCTTTTTTGTGGAAAAGTGTTTGTTTGAATGCCATGTTTCACATTGTGTGTTGATATTCAAAACCCATTTTTTTGCAGAAATGTGTAACTTGTTTTAAAGGAAAGGAGCAGTGAGTTTTTAGTTCACCTCAAATGTTTCAGCTTAAATGGTTGTAAGTAGGAATGTCTTTGTCTGGGGGCCATTGTGCCATTTGTTGGCCATAATCACACAATATGTGCTGGGTGGTCTTACATTGGGCAGTTCCATCATTGGGCAGTTCCATCATTGGGCAGTCTCATCATTCGGCAGTTCCATCATTGGGCAGTCTCATCATTGGGCAGTTCCATCATTGGGCAGTCTCATCATTGGGCAGTCTCATCATTGGGCAGTTCCATCATTGGGCAGATTAACATGTTCACACGGATAGTTTGAATCTCAGTTACAAAAATAAAACATATTGCAAAAGTAAGCACATATCTAGTGGCAGTGAAGACTACATTGGGGTGGTTGACTGCCTTTTCTTTTCTTTTGGTCCTGAAAGGGCAGTTGGCATGTTGTGGTTTACAGCTAGGCTGCAATATCTGTGCCTTTTGGCACCATATATCTGTTTTTAGGAGAGCCCTAATTAGTTAGCTTTTCCCCTGCTCATTATGAGGACAGTGGGTCTGGTCTGGTTCCCCTCTAAATGGCCCTGTTCCCACATGGAAGTATCTGTCTAGGAAACAAAGTCCTGCACATGAGATACAGATTCACTCGTTTTCCTGGACTAAAGTAAGTCAAGGTCCCTTGTCCACGCCTTTATGCATATAAGGCTAGACCTATACTTTTAAAGAGCAAACAGCACAAGATGGGTCATGTGGCCAGCATCACGCCGGTTGGCCCTTTATTCCATTGATTTTTCTAATGAATGTGTATGACCCATCTGTCCGCAGACGGCCTCCTTTCTGATTGGTGTTTGAAATTGTGGGAGCATTGCTGATGTCCCTTATATCTTTTTGTGGCTTTGATACCAAGGGTAGAAAACCACAGTCCTGTCTGATAGGGACAACATGGGTGATGTAATCCCAGTTATAACCCACAAGGGAACAGTAGATATGCATTTAAAATTTAACAAATAAGTTATGGTGACAACAGAAGAAATTCTTATTGGTACTTTTGGTATTAAATGAAAACGTTCAGAGCGTTTGCATTTAGAGATGAAAAGCAATGATACACTTGAGTAGTGCTCAGTGCACTTCCACAACAAGGAAAGGCTCATCAAGAAGAAATAACTACACAAGAATAGCAGTACTAATTTTATTTTAGTTGTGAAATATTCAAAGACTCATTCTGTAGTTTTCTTCAAATCACGTTTGTCATGAACATCGAATCACAGACTGTTTGATAAATCTTCATTGTTGCAGTAATGACAGCATTGGATTTTGTTGTATTCATTTTTATTTTCATGTCAAACTTGGGTGGGAGCTCCCTGTTTGTTTCTTCATTGATTTTATTGTGTGCCATGTTTGAAGTCCATTATAAAATAAACATATTCACATTGGTCTCGCTGTCTCAAGGTTAAGTCTTCTGTCTGCAGTGTCAGGTGTGTGTATGCAGAGTTTCAACTTGTCTGTATAGTGTGGTATGTGTGAAGTTTGAATCTGTCTGTAATGTGTGTGAAGTTTGAATCTGTCTTTAATGTGTGTGAAGTTTGAATCTGTCTGTAATGTGTGTGAAGTTTGAATCTGCTTGTAATATGTTATGTGGACGTTGAACCTGCTGGTATGGGTTCCGGGGCCCTCTTGTGTGTGTGTTAAGAGACTGTGTTGCTATGAGACGGCTGTAGGAGATGATAGTGAATGATGGATTAGGACTTTGATGACCGCTTAGCTACTACGCTTTCAACAGTCCATGCGAGCTTCTGACTAGGATATCCTGACTGATGAGTGAAAACTCCAGGATGCATAGAGATTTGACTGACCTGAGGGTGAACGGTGGATCGGACAACAGAGACAGAGAAAGCTTTTTCGGGGGTTGGCTGAGAAACTTGGACAAGACAAGTTGTGTTTTGAAGGCTAGGTAATTGATATAGGTTAGCGAAGGTTAGTTTGACGGCATTATAATTTAAATGGTAGTTAGTGTAAGGTCGGTGTTATACAGAGATAGTCTTTTGTGTTTAGTTGGCGTGGTCTGTCGGACCATACCCAGCAGAGCTGTACAGTCGGGCACCGGTCGTGATGTAGCTTGGAGAGGCACAAGAAAGAGCTTGGATCGGAGGCTGTTGGTTCGGACCCGGTTAAGGCCTGGAACAACTAGATTACCAGTGTGTGAGTTGTTATTTAAAGCACTCCGGCTGGCTGGGGTGGGGGTTGTAATTCGAACCACCTCTAGGGCTAACTAGCTGCTGTTTTCTGTTACTACACCAAAAGCCGATGTGTGTGTTCTGACGGTGTCGAGTTGGTTTGTGTGTAGGATAGATATCATTGTCATAGTTCTGCCACCGAGCCGCTGTAATTAAGGCGATAAGCAGGTTTATGACAGTTGGGGGAAACAAGAACAGACCCCCTGCCTACCCAAAAGCATGTCATGAGAGTCGACTAAGCTTTCTTCGAAGTCTGCTTGAGAGACAGGGAACCAACAGTCTGCTAGAAATGAATCAGATCTGTAAAATTGATGCGCACGCAACACTCAGGTTCTGGAACGGGACTACAGTCTAAACGTGGACGAGCAGCCAGAACTTTCCGTCTGCGTTTACAACTGGTGAAAGCAGAGAAGAAAAAGAAGACATCCCAGTAGCTCTGTCATGCTATTTGTAGTTGCCTCCAATTGTCCTTGTAAAGCATCCTTTCATAAGGAACCGATGCCTCTTTATATGACCACAGGAAAAAATATATAAAAACGAACGAAAAGTATATCAGCAAGCTTCACAATATAACAAACACAAACAAAACGTGAACGTTGCGGTTATGGAGCCTTCATCAGCACTGCATAAATTAAACAGTACCACACAAATACACAAAATCACTTAGCTTAATCTTAGTATCTCTTGCCAGTAGACTGACGAGACACGTGGTACAGGAGAATAAATACCCCCGGGGAATGCCAGGGTTTTAGATAAAACTGTGGGCAATTCAAGCCCCTGGGATTTTATTTGAAACTGTGTTGGCAGTTCAGTCCTCTAGGTGTTAACGTGCCCAAAGTGAAAATACAGAGATTTTTCAAGAGACTTGTGGACTCTGTCGCGGGAGTGGCTACATGTGATTACTGTATATGTAACCACATTACTTGAAGTTTGCTGTCAGTCTCATTCCATTTTTCTAGTACAGTTCAATATCAAAGGTTCTCTTCTGGGGAAATCTTGTCTAAGTAAGAAATCATGAGCGAACAAATGGAGGAAAACAAAACGTTAATCACATGCAAACACAGTCAAAGGAAGACGTTTGAAGCTTGGACCTAAGGTGATGGAGTTTTTCTGTCGAGGGTAAAAACATCTTAACCTGCACAGTCCCTGGCGATAGCACTCGCCTTACGGCCCTGAATCCTCAGGCTCACCACCCTCTGTATACAACTCCCTAAAATGTGGTACACACAGATCGTAGTGACAGTTTGAACGGCGGACCTGTTCAGAAGAACTCACTGGGGGCACAAGAAATTGTCCTCTTGTTAGAAACTCTTCTTAATCCGAAAAGAATTCGAGCAAAAAAAAAAAAAATTGCCTGGGACAAACAAGTGTTCTGCACATCAGAAATTAGCCACGTCTGATATCGCCTTAAGCGATCTGCAAGGTAAAGTGAACAAGTAAGCATGACAAACAACGACAATAAACCCACTACGCTACTGCACTGGGTTGTTTTTACCAGCTTTGCTTTGACAATAAAATCTAAGTCATAAACAGTTACAGTTAGTTGCTTATCCTTTACACGACATTGCAGAACCAGCCCAGCAATTTGTAGCTGTTGTGATTTCTCTAGGCAAATTTACGTCCAGTAGTTTGCCATTGCTGCTTGGACAATCGTCTTCTCGGTGCCACTGTCGAAACCAGCGCAAGGCGCAAGACCAGCAGCTGGGATCGAACCCAGCACCCTGGAAATTCGAAGTTTATTCGCAACGCCTCAGCCACAGACGCCGACTCATAAACAGTACACTTCCTTAATTTCCATCTAGCCTGCGCCATTCACCTGACTAGAAAATAGACCCCCACCTCCCTCCCCACCCCAAATTTCATTTAGTGCGGCGCAGACAATGGAAACGAGAAATTAATTGAGGCTTCAGATGTTGAGATGCAAACGAATGTACGAGGTGACATCAAATTAAACCTTGAAAGTGTGACAGACATTATAATAACCATCCATTGTGTAGTAAATATGTCAATATTCTTGTTAAGGATGACAAGACTGTAAAGTACGTGACGTCACAGCGCAGACGAACACGGTGTAGTCATAATGACAGTTTAAAGATGGCTGCCCTACTTTTAACATGCACCAAAGAGAAAATTCATAGGCGAATGATGGTTCAGTGTGCCCGTCAGTCCAACAAGTGTTTATGTGCAGTAGACAGTTTCAAAATGGCTGCAATCGACTCTGGGGTCACTACTCGGTGTGGCTGACTGTCGTGAGGTGAGCAGCCACCCTGCACAATGGACGAGTCGCGACTTTGATTTCCTTCGCGGACAGTCAAATTTCAAACTTGAACCCGTCGGAAAGGTATATAGTCCCTTATATTGATCTATACCTTTATCTGGTAAAATAATAATTTCTAGACCCTCTAGTTGCTTTGATAAATCTTCATTTTCAAACTTGCAACTGTAGGTTGGCTAATTCTGGTATTTTGTTTAGAAATTCCTGTAAACCGGTTTACTTCTTAGGCAGGAAAACAGGGGACTTCTTTCCTAGAGACGCTAGTTTGATTTTGAAAGAAAACATTCTTTCGCCTGATCCCAAAGTGTCTAGACGTGTATACAGTCTATGTAGAAATTGACGCATTCAAAGTTCCATTTCTATCTTGGAAGATTTCCTAAGC